ATGTAATGTATGCGGAAGTTATCGCAACCTCTGCCCACTTGATCACTGCCCTAACCATTTATCGATAAAACAGCGATAAATCAAAGTATCGATATCCACGAAGTATTGCCTCTAAAGCTGAATTATGGGATACCGCAGGACACGACACACCTCTATTCCCCAAACAGTTTATTGGAAATATTGATTTCTTAACATTTATATTAAAACTTTTTTTAAAAATTCATATTCACTAATATGTATGAGTAAAAACCGACTGAGAGAGATAAAATTTGTGTTAAGTTATTTTTGGGAAATTCAACCATTTAGCATTGTTCCTATAAAATGTAAGTATGAATAAAATAATCTGACAAAGTTTCACCAATTGAGGCATCATCATGAGAACAGAAAAGAACAATTAATCCAACATCACTCCATGACATCCAATCACATACTCTAGTATACCAATGGAGTATGCGGTTGGATATCATAGTGATGTTAGATTACCTAATCCTTTTCTGTCCTGAATTGGTGAAACGTTGAAAAGCTTTTTTCTTTATCTGAATTTTCGAGAAATAAATCTGTGGTGGTTAGAAATTTTTCCAATTATAACCTAACATTAATGTTCTTTCTCTTGATTAGTTTGTTACTAATTTTTATTAGTAAATCATGTCGTAAAATGTGACAAATACAAAGATACAAGTCACAAGAAACTTATGCCTGCCAAACTCCATTGTATAGCAAGAAACTTACCAACAAAAGAAATCATCAATTCGCATTGATAATTTATTTTTAATTTGCAATTTTTAATTTTTGAGTAAGCTGTGATACTTATGAATATTTGAGCAAAATTGTATTGCACCGCATTTTTAAAATTTATTTTAAATAAGTTTATGGCATTAATGCTTATCAACTTATTAATACGTAATGTCTCAAAAATTCAATATTAGCATAAGAAATGTTTAATTTAAATAAAATCGATTGAGAACAGTATGCTAATCAAGCAATGAAACCTAATGAGATGCAAGCAAACGGCAATCGAGTTTTATGACAAGTCGTTACAGGAAACAATTCACTGTATTATTTTAACTAGAGTAGCAATTAGCGATTACAAGGATAGTAACTGCTTTAATTAGTTTATCACTCCTAGTAATAACTGAAAATAATGATTTTTTTCAATTAAAAAAACACAATTTTCTTAATGTAACGATAATGATGTCCTAGAGGTAGCCATCATGTACTAATTACAGATTAATATTCATTATTTCAAGAATCAGGGGGGCTACGAGAAAAACTAACAGACCCAGGGAGTTGGAAGGGGGGGGGAGATATAACCCACAACATTCTGGTCATTCAGGAACCTTCATCAAACGTGATCGGATCCGCCTTGAGTAATGAATATTTTTCAAAATGGTGTGGAAACTATTAGACTATACTTCGAATTTGAAGAAAATCTAGAAAAAAAAGAGCTAAACGTCATACTCATAATACGTGGAAATTATATATACAGGATATTTCAGGGTTACGTGGCCAAACTGCAAAAATGAACTGAAGACTCAAAAACAAGAAACAAATATTTCCTCTGAAAATATGTCTGCAAACGCTAAGTTTAGAAAATTTTCACACATAAAGATTTTCATTGTTATGAATTATTTACTTTAAATGAGCTAAATATAACCTATTCATTTGATCTAACTACTTTATTAATTAAATATAAACATTTTTTTCAGATTGGTTCTTAAATCATGTTGATATTGTATAGTATGCATATGTTTTAGTTATTATTTTAATTAGAATTATTCTTTTGTTTATATACATTTATTTTTCTTATTATTAGTTTCTGTATTATTTATTGTAAATAGAGAGTGATACTCTCTTAACACTATTATAAATGTCCTTGATTGTGAGAGAATGTAATATTTCTAAATAAACAAATTAAAAATATCAAGTTGAGTATAATTCACAATTTTCATGAACAATTCTCTGGGCAGATGAAGTTACCATAACAATAAGTGGTATCTTCAATCAGAAAAATAACTATATCTAGTTGCAGGAAAATCCGCATACAATTCGTAAGAATCATTTCCAGCACCAGTTTCAATGTAATGAGTGGTTGGGGATAATAGAAAATATTTTAATAGGTCAGTATTTCTTGCCTCCTCGACTCAATGCGGGCACATTTCTGGAATTTCTTAATAATGATTACTATGATTTAGTTGAACATATTTCACTACAACTGAGAAGGGACATGTGGCTTCAATTAGATGGTTGTACTGCGCATTACAGAAGAGGTCCACGACAATTAATTTATTTATTTACTTAATATAACGTAAATAATTAATAACAATGAAATTCTTTAGGTGTGAATATTTCCTAAACAAAGCGTTTGCGGACATACCTTCAAAGGAATTTTTTTTCTTGTTTTAAGGCCCTTAATTCATATTTTCAGTTTGGTCACTTAACCCTGAAACACCCTGCATACCGGTTGCCTACATTTTAATCTAAAAGATAGATCTTCTTCATTGCTATCCAGTAATGTCACTATTACTGATAACAGACAGACTTAATTCATTTGTAATTATTAGGTTCTATAATTATCTTTTAGTTTTTTGAAATAATTTTTTCTGATTGTGATCGAAGTGTAGATAAGCAATAAATATAATAGGAACGTATTGTGTGAGCGAATTTCGAACACACCCACCGAACTAACTTTCTCTAGAACATTTCTCAAAGTTTGTCAACTTCAGTTTCTCACCAAACTTTAGAAGTAAATCACTCTCATTAAACCTTACCTTCCAGATAACGAAATCAGAAATGTAAGAAACTAAATAAAAACCCATTTTATTATAGATACCTAACGATTTTAGATTTACCAATCACAATAAACTAAGAATATCATCTCAAAGTTGGGCTTACCGTTGGAAAGCTGATGAAATAGAGCATATACGATTTTATTTATGAAAATTATTTATTTAAAATTTCATTTGGCTGTTATGCGAGACGAAGTTGACTGACAAAAATATATGTAATCATTACAAGTATAAATATATTTAATAAATAAGGTTTTTATTGACATTTTTACATCTTCAGAAGGTGAAAACGTTTTATTTTGCATTTGGTACATAGGGAATACATTTGCATATATTATATATTACACTATAACAATTGTTACCAACTATTTACTTCAGTTTAGGATCTTCTTACTTAACTTATCCTGTTTATATTTTAATGTACTAACTGTTTATAATTTTTATAAACTTATTCGCATTGTTTATAATTTTTCTTTTCTAAATATTATGTAACTTCCACAATTCTCTATATTTTTTTTATATCTTGTCCGTTCTAGCCCTGAAGAAGAACTGCAAAGACGGGTATGAACGTTGGCTTTTCATAAAATAGTTTTGTCACTATTTAGCCTATTTATGACCGCCACCCCGGACCATCTCCTTCCTTTATAATGCAACTATTAAATATTCAATATAATTTATGTTCCTCCAAGTCATTCTTTATTTAAGGATCCTGATTGAAAAGACAAAAGAGGTAAAAGGGCTAACATAGAACTGTACATAAAGGGCACTGTAGCGACAGGTTCGGTATAAAGGAGGCTATAACAATGGCCGCCGGGCGACAAAACTGCGGCTTTTTTCGCCGAAAATCTTTCCTTTCCATTCACTGGTACCTTCATTGTCGCTTTCATTTTCGTTACAAATTAAAAAATGTTTTCCCTAATCGATCTCAGTTTTCGAATAACCTTTATATTGAACAATTCATTCCAGATAATAAAGAATAAAACTTACTTGAAGGGATAATTAAAAAGAAATTAATTATTTGCTGACGAGTTCTACGATTTTTTTTTTGGTTTATTTTTAATTCATCTTGTTTTTAGGTGTTACTTGTTTTTAGGTGTTTAATTACATAAATATTATTGAGAATATTATTATCTTATAAATTCTTACATTGTCATGCTCAATTTTTGACTAAAATGATCCAACTGTAAGAATTTTTTCACGCCGGATTAAGAACAATATAAAATACCACAATGAGAGAAGAAAAATAAATAAAATAAAATAAAAATAAAATGTTCGCAGAAAAATAATAAGTTTTGAAATTGATTTTTGACCGGTTGAGATTATACGTCTAGCTTTCTTCATTGCAGACCGAAAAGCAAGGCATGATACAGATTTCGAAAAAAACATCGATATGTTTACGTTACAGATGGCCCGGATGACCCGGAACGGACTCACTTCCGTTATAAACATTTTTTTTAAACTGGATTATTTGTTTATTGATAAATATTACAATCTGTCTCAATAAAGGACATTTATAATAGAGTTATAAGAGCACATTCACACCATATTAACAAATTAAAAAAAAAAATAAATAAGATAATTTCAAAATATTATAAAGCTAAATAAGAACAAAATAAAATATCGAATTGAAGGAAGAAAATATAAATAATAGTAATAATAGAATAAAAATAAATGAATAAAAAAGAATTAAAATTATCTTTAAAAAAAAAGTAATGAAAATAAACATCTTAGACGCAGGCATACCTATTTACACTATTATGGGAACTACGAACCATACTTCCCCCCACATGTGGAGGGAAAGCGAGGCTTCTGGAGATCCCTGCGCTTCTTCCTAAACCACTTCACTGGTATTTAAAGCCAGCGGAGATTGTCCGTTATAAAATAGAAAATAAATATGTTTTGTAAGATTTATAACGGTTTGATCTAAAATATCCGTTTTTATATTATGATAATTTACTTAATGCCCCTTACTTTGTTAAAAATAAAATCATCCATAATGACCTTAATGTTTCTGATTTGGTCCAATCCAGATATATATCCTTTCATAATAAACTTTTGATCGGCACGACAATGAAGTAAAATAATTAAGAAATTAAACACTAATTAAACCACAATATATAGGACACTTTGACTTAAGTAGCAGTCGAACATGACATACCGATTATCGATTTATAAAGCAAAACCCTGGACTTATGGACCTGGCGAAGACGGCACATGGCGGGTTGCGGGTCAACAACCTTGGGCCCTACTGGAACAATTCGAGTGGCTCAGTCTACTGGAAGGGAAGATTATTATCTCCAGCCAGGGGGTGCGAACTGGAGGGTGTGTCTTCCAGGATGTTAAAAGAACCTTCCTAACCAGTCAACGGCACCTTCACTTTATTTTTCTACAATGAAAAAAAAATGTATACATACACCAATATATTTGCGCGGGGCTAACTAATTTGGATTTGGTTTGGAGTAAATCAGGTTCCAAATTTTTTACGATACTTTTCCATACTTTGTATTTCATATATGAGTAACTGAAAATAAAAAGTATTGTCCTCGCATGGTTTTTTGATCATCTTCAACATTACTATAAAATATTAACTACAGCTATTTTACTTATAATTTCATGGAGTACCCATTGGGTAATAGAAAATAGAAATAGAAAATTATCTTTATTCTGGGACTAGGTCCCTTGAGAATAACAATATTGTTTAAACCAATTGACAATAAATCTGGCCAGATGACCTATCATAATAAAGATTAACTACAATCTAAGTAATAAAATGAGTATATACATATAGTTTTGGAGGGTATATTAAGGAAAGCAGATGGGTACAACGGTTACAATATTATAATGTTGGTACAAAAAACAACATACTTATAACTAAGTAAAATTGGAAAGAAATGCTGAATAAGTTTTATACGTAACCAATTATAGTGCTACAATATAATAAAAAAAAAGAATAAAAAAAATAACTAGAGTAAATAAATGATTCACATATGTTCCTTAAGACGTATAAGTGAAAACATGTGAAGATATTGTGAAAAAGTAGACAAGTATTGTGATCTACCAATAGATTACGAGCAGAAAAAGTAAAAACAAACACATCCATATATATACATACATACCAACCTAGAGAGGAGAGTGCAGAAGATAGTAAAAAATAAAAGCGTACATAAATAGGGTATAAAAATGTAATATGGTATATTACAACTATCATTACCACACCCTACGCTATCTCGTTATATAATAACAGTTATTAGCATTAAAAAATAACAATGGTACAACAAAGCGATATCAATCGAATTAATAATGCTGAACATCAGTAATGACTCTTTAAACAGAAAAATACCGAGAACATATAATTCATATAAAGGCTCATTTTGATGCTATGAATATACGAAATATCGATGGACAGAGTAAATTTTGTTTTAAACATGTACGTCGAGGGCAATAAACCGCAACGATCCGGGAGCTCCGTCTAACTCGATTTTATGGTATCGTCGCCAGAGTAAAGGGAGAGGATCGAGTTTTAATTCGATTCCTAGAGGAAACCTCCAACGGTAGCATCAAAGAAGCGCTTAATCTGATGCAGGCAGGTATCGCAAGGCGGGGGCCAATATAGTGACTTTGCAACTTTGATCAAAATCACATTCTTTAATAATTACAGAATTATTAATTAAGTTATTATTACTACATAAATACAGCCAAAAATAAATTAATTTATAGGATACATTGATAACGCAATAATTACCAGGTGCTTGGTTTTAGATAAATATGGTTCATTATCATGGGAAAGGCAGTATACATCACGATACAGTTCAACCTTAGGGCAAAGGTTCATTATAATAAATTTTAGAACTGCCAGGGGGCCATAGGAAAACACAACAGAACTCCTGAAACCCCCCGCCCAAAAAAAAAATTCGAACAAAATTTTGCTGGAACGTTTACTAAGTCCAAAGGGTGAAGGGGGCGGGGTGGCCTAGGCTAAAGCATGAATAGGCTAAAGCGTGTGTAACAGCACCGCTAGTTGCCTGGCAACCGCATAACAGAGATTTGAGATGATATAAAAAGTACGAGTTCGCGTCCCGGTGCCGGAGGGGATTTTAAATTTCCCCGGAAGAACAAAAAAAAAAAAAAAAAAAAAAAACCTCAGTTTACACCATATCTTCTAGCCACACTTTATTTCTATTTATTTATTTATTTATTTTTTAAAACGAACCTTTTTGAAGTGAAAATGTGTTTAGGCGCGCTTTGCATATATTTTTTTTTTTTGGGTAGTGAATGAGAATGAGTCGTCATCTTCGAATATGTAACGCTCATTCGGGTAAAGTCGGCTCGACTCGACTACTTGAAGAGTTTTTGCATTTGGATTAAAATATCTCAGAAACTAAAAATAGGACCTCCAAGCGAAGAAAATGATCGAGAAAGTGAGGAAAATTATCTTTCCATCCTCTTTGTAGTAGACTATTATTCAAAAGTGTATCTTAATGCGACGTCGTGTTAGAGAGGAAACAAGGGAAAAATAGTGTAGAAAAACTCAGAAACCTATTTGCGAAACTCAATATAGATATTTTTTTTAAATGAAAGAGATGGTCTGTGGTGGCGATCATAACTAGGCTAAATAGTGGTAAAACTCTTTTAGTAAAAGCCAACGTTTCCACTCGACTTTTCAGGGCTTCTTCAGGGCTAGAACGGACAAGATACAAAAAGATAGGAAATTGTGGAAATTACATAATATTTAGACAAATAATTATCAACAATGTGAATAAGCTTATTAAAATTATAAACAGTAAGTACATAAAAATATAAACAGAGTAAGCTATGTAACAAGATTCTAAACTGAAGTAAATAGATGGTAACAATTATTGTATTGAAATATATAATAAATGCAAATGTGAATATACTTCTACAGATCTACGGGAGAGATTGAAAGAAAAAGAAAAAGGATATAATATGAAATTATAGACATAAAGAAATGTGGAGAAAGAAAAGAAAAAAGATTTATTTTTTTAATTAGCTATAAAAATAATAAATAATAAATAATGTGTATCTATTCGATTTTCTGTTGTACTCGATAAAGTTTTGACAAATTATTGATCCCACTAATCAAAGTTATATTTATAAAAAAATGACGGATTTTTCGTTAGATATTTATCAAATAGACTTCAATCAAAAGTATTCATCACATATCTTAGTTATCATAAAGCTACTTTATCATTTTTAGACTATGATACAAATGATTATCAATCAGAGCAAATTTTACTAGAGTAATTTACACACAGTTATAATTTCATATATTGTAAATGTACTTTGTGAGCATAGAACAAAATATAGTTTATAAACCACTGTAACTGCATATATTTTAAATGTTATTTCTTTCTGAATATAGGACAAAACAAGTTTGTATTTCATAATGTTAATCTCGGCTTGTTAATATTTTAACACGGAATTTTTTTTTTAAATTTTCTATTTTTTAATAGTATATTATGTTACAAACATATAATTAATTAAAATTTTCATTATTGTAAAGTTGTATATTTTGAATAACTAAATCCTATGATGGTATATAATGAAATTACTAAACTTATTTAATTAGCGCAACGGAATGAACCAGAATAAAACTACGAAACTGAGCTGAGAAGAATAAAAGGAGCTTTAACCTCACTAAGCAAGTTGGACCACGTGTGCCCCCCTTAATTTGACAGCAGCGACACCTATGGAGCTCACTGGATACTTTAAGTCCTCGCTAGGGCGGGAAATACAGCCAAGTCAGGAAATTAAACAACTCTAAGACACTTCTTTAATAAGCTTTCAACTCTTTTACAATCTTTCTTAAATTCTACACGAATGAGAAGTTAGGAATCTTGTAAGCTTGAAAGCCCTGAAGTTAAAACAAATAATATAATTATGTATTATATAAGGAAGGAATTAATTGTGTTTTCCATTGTCGATTACAATATTTCATTTAAAATATTAGACCAAAATATTTGTACAAATTGTTTTTCTGGGAGTTATTGATTGATTCTGAATTATTATTCGTGTTACGAAATTGAAGAATGAATCACCATTTATATTGACTAAACTGCACATATGAGACGTCTCATAAATAATGGTAAATATTTAAAGAAGTGATAACAAAACCCTACAAATATAAAATAGTTCACATAACCAATGCAATGTCGTTCAGTGATGATCTGTCCCTTATCACTTCAATCAGTTTTAAAACTTGGTCATGGATCCACTCCGATATTTTTACTATAAAGGAATACACAACAAAAAACAGGCACAATATCAACATAGTATGTTTTGAAGAATCCTATGTTTTCTTGAATAAAAGGAGCGCTGCTATAGTTTGGTATATAATTTCCATTTTGTACCAATTTGGTCTTAAGAATTAACGAAACCCTTTTACAGTGTTAAGTTTTTAGATCAAAATAAGTTCTTTAAAAAACTGTTCTAGAAATTCAACCGTGTAAAAGGGCCTTATATAGTTTAATAACCACAACTTTAATCATTAAATAATGTCTGATAAATTCAATTAACCTATGCAATGCTGTGAATATACTCTATCCCATCGCTGTGTTAAGTATACATTTCTCTGAAGGTAAATGGGAATTTAACAAGATATGATTTATGCAATGAATATCTCAAACATTTTGAAATAAGGTGTTAGTAATTGAATTGTGGATAAGATTGTTCTAACATATTATTTCCTGATTGAAGGCTATTCCATTGTGGACAGAACTGCTACGAGATTACAAGATTGTGCGGGCAGGGGGCGCTAACCACTGTGGTTGGAAGGAAGGGGAGGGGGAGGAAATGCTAAATGCCAGGAAATATCCACTGCCAACTACTTCCACCGCTACTGCCCATTATATCGAATCCAGTCTGTTGCTGTCAATCGATAGTAGCCACAATCCAAAGTAGTAACGCGGTTGAAACAAAATCCGAATTAAATTACAAAGATATTTAGTCAAATGAATTTAAAGTAATAATACATGTCTCGTTTATATTGAAAATAAAATATGAGAAGGAATTAGTCGAGGGTGCGGTAAAAAAAAAATTAAAAAAAATTAAAATATATAAATAATTTTAATTTTTGCCGACGTTTCGACCCACTTTGCAGGTTGTCTTCAGGGCGTTGGATGTGGCACTGCGGGAGGCAGTTGAAAAGCACAGTGCCACATCCAACACCCTGAAGACGACCTGCAAAGTGGGTCGAAACGTCGGCAAAAATTAAAATTATTTATATATTTTAATTTTTTTAATTTTTTTTTGACCGCACCCTCGACTAATTCCTTCTCATATCATATCAACGGTCAACCATCTCTACATCATTATGAAAATAAAATAGTTGTACATTAATATATTAATTATTTCACATAAACCTTATTTAAAGTAATATTGAAAAAGTCCTGTCATACTACTCCAGTGAGGGTATAAGACCAACCTGACATTAAAAAATACTTTATTGTAGATTGGCGTTGTATGGAGTGTGTATATATTAACATATACCACTAGTGTATATGATAGTAGATCGGATCAATCCATTTGGATTGGATCTCTACACAACGATGAATGCCTCAATAGTAGGAACGTGGAAGACAAAAAAAGATGGGTATATAAAATAAAAAAAAGATGCAATAGAGCATCATGCAGATAAATGGAAAGAAATAGCCCAAGATAGGCAGAGATGGAGCAGGCATATTTTTAGCAGGCAAAATGTTTTAACATTTAAATTAAAACTGCTTTTAAAATTAAGAAACGATTTAATTTTTATCAAAAGATCCGACACAGGCCTCACCAACTGTAAAATATCGATTACTTAAATTAATCGATTAAATTAAGGGTCGGGGGCTTCAGTTCGAAAGATTTTTTTTTACAAATATATTAGGATTATTACTTCGGATGAAAGTAAGAAATTGACTACCTTTTTTCTCATAAAACATTAACTACCTTTTTTTTTTTATATTTTGCCATTTGGGAGGGGGAGGAGAGGGGCTTTATACCGAATACTGAGACCAATTTGGACATACGGAGCATAATTTTGAGGTTTGGAAAAACAAACACACGTAAATAAAATACAAACAATATAATTAAAAATATTCGAAAAACTTTCAACCCACCTTGGTATATTTCTAATGACACTATACGTAACGAACTAAACATCCCAACAGTAAACTCCTACATCCACGACAACACTAGCGGATCCATGATTTAATTTCGGGGGCTTCAGCCCAAAGATTTTTTTTTCGTATTCATATAATGACAATTAATTTGAAAAAAAAGGAAAGAAATTAACTACCTATATGGTGTTTAAGTGGTTCTTGAAGTCCTATTAAATGTAATTAAACGAACAAGAATACTTTAAGAGATATAGTTTTTAATATTTTTTTTCTGTAAAACATGGTTATATTTTACCTTTTTTTGGGGGGGAGGGAGGGAGGGAGAAGGGAGTGGCTGTGACGACAAACACACTTAATTTTCATCCTCCAATTCTATATCAATTCGATCCATTTGTCCTTTCTATTTTCTGCTCCCTATTAACTGATCGGCGCAGACTAAAAAAGAAAATGGCCGAGGGATCTATTATTACAATTAAAACAAGATGAAGCTAATCAAGTAAACTCGCAGCTATGGCTAATATATTAAAATTGCAGTGCTGGTGGAAATAGTATAAAATGGTAAGATAAATGAATAAAATAATATTTTTTCCTTCCAGTTTCTCTAAAACGTGCACCTCTCTACAGAGGAAAGTTAGGTATCCCTTGGTGTTCCTACTCTTTTTATTTTATTTTACTATATTTTATAAATAGGCACGGGCGGATCTACGGGGGGGGAGGGGAGCTTTCGGGCTGAAGCCTCCCCACAAAATGGTAAAACATAACCATGTTTTATGGAAATTTTTTTTTAAAAAATACTTCTTATTTAAAAGCACTTAAGGAATCACTTAAACACCATTTTATATAGGTAGTTAGTTTCTTTCTGTTTTTCCAAAATAATTATCGTTATTTTTATGAAAAAAAAAAAGCTTCCGGGCTGAAGCCTCCTCCAAAATTAAATCCTGGATCCGCTAGTGTAAATAGGTAAGTGAAAGTAACAATTATAAAAATTATTTCAGCGACTCCTAATAATATTGATACTTGCCTTGCGATATCCTTCGACAATCCTCCGGTACCTATAGGGCACCGGAACTGCCGAGAAGGCAGGAAACGAAGAGGACCGCTCGCGGAAGGATACTAGCGCTCGCCCTAGGGCTGCCGTGATTCCCGCTGATGCCAGGACACGAACCGTTTAATTTTTAAAGCTCTATTAGCCGAGGGAAAGAGTCGTAATTAGGTTCCCCGCTGCGAAATGGCGGCTGCTTATAATTGGCAAAGTTTGTCCAAGCCCGCAGCTCTGACCTTTGTGAGGGCCTTGTCTCAGCTCCAGCTGTTGGTTCGCCTCCTAAAGGCTAAGTCCACTGAATTCCAGCCATGTTCATTGGCTGGAGAAATTAAATAAACCATTTTCAAGATAAATAATTAAAATGTCCGACTACTCCAGCACTTACTAGACAAACGCTCTAAACAAAATACAAAATACTTATCTAAATAACTATAATAAGACCTATATGGACATACGAGGTTGAATTTTGGGGCTCCACCAAATCATAGAATTCCTATCGTATCCAATCCTTACAATCCAAAATCCTCCGTAAAATCCTAAATGCTCCATTCTTTGTCACAAATAAAATCATTCATAAAGACCATAATGTACCATATGTCGCTGATTTAGCCCGAGCCAGATATCTATCCTTTCATAATAAACTCTAGTCTCATCCAAATCCCCTTGTTTCCACCCTTGCTTCTACCTCGATCCTTGATAATCCTCCTAGGCGACTAAAAAGGAGATCTTCTTACTTAGAATTATTTAGGGAGTGCTACCACTGGGTAGTATCTCTTCAAGCCTGTCCATGTCATTATTTATAATTTGTATTAGTAGTTACTAGTTGTATTTGTATACAGTTGTAAATTTAATTAAATAAACAAAAAATATAAAATAAAAATGATTAAAAACTACTTTAATATGAAATATATTAGCTATAGTAACTAAATTAAACGCAACGCTAAGTTCATCGATGAAATCAACCGATCTATTAATTCCAGCATAGATAGGCTGCGATTTAAACGATTTTGGAACGACCCGCTGGATTGAATTTCAAAACAGAAATAGATATAGCACGTGTAAACTAATATTTAAATACTTGCTGCGCCGACTGTCAAACGTCTGAGGAGTAGGCCGAAGAGAAGGTGGGAAGATTGCATTAAGGCTGAACCGAAGGATCTGTGTTTAGACGACGGATCGGTGGAGGGAGGGGTAGACAGCGATTGGTGGTGTCCGGATCGAACCTTCGGGTTCACTCAGCCTTTTATTATTATTATATTTATTATTCTCGCTTTTGCAGATTCAAAGCTGAAGATGGGGGACAAGTTTTACCAACCACTTAGAAGTTTTACATTTTTTTTTTAGGTATTTAAGAATTTTTTAGCGATTCTATATCCAAGAGAACTGCTAAACACACAAAGGTGTAATTCCAAGCCGTCCCTACTTGCCACCGTTGACTTTGGGATCAGACCATTTGTTGATATTATTGGTGTAACCAATATGCTTTCGAAATGGTACAATTATTATATTTCAAACGCCAATTCTTGGTAGTTACGGAGCCTTTCCTCCACGGTTGTGCTTATAATGTTTTTATTCGGAATCGCGTCTGTTGTGACGTACAAATTATTATTATTAAAATAACACAGAGCTTATAATCCTAATAGCCGATAGAACTGAAATGATTTGGCTAGATAAAGGATTTAAGAACGGTCTAATATTTGTGTGATGCCATAGAAGAATTTTAACTTCAAATACTGATTCACACCTATCGACGAACTGTAGATGGACTGATAAAAGTAATGAAAATAACACGAGGAAAGATAGCAGCATGTACCATGGTTTGTTAATGAAGGGAGTCTCTCTCGTCCAGCGCCTTTTCAATCCCTTCCTTGAATTTAAAGGCGACAGCTATAGCTATAGATACATCTGTTATTTTGTCCGTGTAAATTAGCATTAGTTCATTGTTAAAGAGTTCTTATATGTTGGACAACTGTTGGCAATTTTCGCGTGACTGTTGTGGTTAATCGATAAGATGAATAAAAAAAGCAAACACGTCAACTTTATTCATTGCATTAAAAACTCATTTTAAATTATTATAATCGTCAATTGTTCATAAAAAAAATTAATTAACTCTTTTTGAATTATTTGTATTAGTTTTTTTCCATTAATTCATTAACAAATAGTAGCGAATTCATGATTAATTTTGAGGCTAACATTTTTAAGTACAATTTAATTAGACAAAAACAGGGGATCTGATGAACAGATACAAATATAAATTTCTTAAGTAAATGACATGGGTGATAAATATTCAGGACAAATATTGGTGATAAATTTATTTATTGGTGCCGACGTTTCAACCCAAACATGTGGGTCATCATCAGGGCTAAAAATAATTTAATACAATCAGAAATACAATTTTAGATAATGGTTAAGAATACCAAAATAGTGATTAATGATACATGCTATAGACGAATGAAATATGTAAAAAGTTATACAAACTAAAAATAATATATATAACCAATTTATAAAAATTGTAATATTTTTTCTTATTCACCGTGTTTCGGGCATTGAAGGTATTCAAGTACTGACACTTTGATAGGTAAGTAAAAGGGTCAGTGGAGGACTTTCCAGATGTACTTCTAACATAGCAAAAGGTAGGTAAACATAGTCAGAGGGGGTTAACATTTCTGTTTGTAGAATGAAAATAATTTGCTAACTAAATTATTCAAGATGTATACAAGATGTGTTGTTTCTTATAGTTACGAAATAGTGACTAATGGCTAATAATGAAATTAACATAAGAAAGAGATGCCAATCAATATAAACATAACATAGTTAGATTAAAGGAATATAATATTTAGCCAAATAATGTTTAAAGGAAGGAGATGGTCCGGGGTTGCGGTCATAAAAAGGCTAAATAGTGGTAAAACTATTTTATTGAAAGCCAACGTTTCGACCCGACTTTGCAGGTCTTCATCAGGGCTAGAACGGACAAGATACAAAGAGATAGAGAATTGTGGCAATTACATAATATTGAGACATAATTTATAAACAATGTGAATAAGCTTATTAGAATTATAAACAGTAAGTACAATAAAATATGGACTAAGTAAGCTGAGTAACAAGATCCAGCAATAAAATAGTTTTACCAGTATTTAGGCTTTTTATGACCACAACCCCGGACGGACCATCTCCTTCCTTTATAATGCAACGGTCAACTATTAAATATTCAAATAATGTTTATAATAAAACAATTTTAATATATTGGAATGGTAAACAGTGCAATATATTATACGATATTTTCAGAATAACAATATTGATCATAAAAAAATCGATTATATTAAGGATTACATAGTTCTAATAATATAAAAATAAACATATCTGTGCCTGCTTGTATTATATATTTATATCAAGAATAGACGTTATATGTATATATATAATAAACGTAGGAGTAGTTACTTCTGTCCGTTGACGGGAAAATGGAAAAAATGAAAAAAAAAAAAATTAAATATTATAGACTATTATTTTAGGAGGCGGAAAATGTTCGGCACCACTAAATAATTTTATAATGACTGCTTCCTGAATATTTATCATCCATGATATGTAGAACAGTTGACTAACTCCTTCAATAAACATTTCATGAACTTTTAATCCTGTTAAGAGACGATTTATCTATCCTCTAAGTGTAAAGAAATGCTTTTTATTTAATCCCATTCATCCTTTGGCTATCAAGAACTCATAGCAGGACTGAATGAACCCACACAATGACCTGGGCTTAGTTGAAGTATTTTTTAAGCTCAAACAGAATTTATGTTTGTCATAACAAACCCTATTCTATCAAGAGTAAATTAAATGGGCCAAGTCTATTCAAATAATTACAAAGTAACAAAAGGTAACATTGAATTACAATTGGCTCAATTAAATATTAAATTCATAAATAGAACCAATTGTTTGATTACATTATTTAATGTATAATAGTGTTTTTAATTAATCACGAGTTTCAACA